CGAGGAAATTTCTATACGTAATTTAAATGGTTTCAAAGGGTGAATAAGATGGAAGAATAAATTTTTGTCTCTTTTTTCAAGATCACCTATGTTTTTTTACAGGAATGTATATATATATATTTTTTGGAACGATCTTAAACACTGAGGTTCTTTAAAAAATTTCATTTTCTTCTATTTTTTTCAAGGCCATCAATGTTTTTCTACACAAATGTACATATTTTTTTTTTTTTGGAATGACCTTTGACTAAAATTTTTTTAAAAATATCTTTTCTAAATTTTTTTAAAGGTCATCTGTTTTTATGCACGAATGTACATATTCTTTTGTACTCTATATTGGAGACAATGACGTTGGACACTAAAATTTCTAAAATTAAACATGAAACCTTCCATTTTTTGCCATTTCTTCCATCTCTGCATCCTTCGTTTTTCAATCAAAGTAAATAATTATTTAAACGTCTCGATCTTCGACAATTGTACACATAGACAGCGAAGCAAGGAAAATTCGTAAACAAAAGTGGCGACAGCGAGTTCCACTTTAATCACAGCTTTAACCAATTCGATTGGCTCGAAGGAAGCAGGGACCTTCCTCGTTGTATCGCGCATCAGCGCTCCATTAGCAATGAAAATGTACACCGCAACGATGCTTCCAGTCGCTTTTAACTCGATCGGCACCCGAACGATACCAAGAAGACGTTCTCTAGGTGGAAAATAATTAAAGCGAGCCACTCGACATCTGTAAAATTAGCTCGGCCGAATTCGGAACTCATTTTCATGGAATCGAGAGATGCAAGCAGGCGCTGTACGCAAAATTACCAATTCAAAGGAATTTCCCGAATCGAGAAAATTGGATAGATCTTCCACGAAAAAATTAAGCGAATGTCTGTCGATCGTATTCCAGGACACGTATGTTACATTCGTTCTGCGTAGAGAAACTGATATCAGCGTATCAGTTTGGCGTGTTTTATTGAAATTTACGTACCGGTAGGAATTCGGTCAGTTTCACCGGGATTTTACCGAATCCACGAGGGACCGTTCAAGGCTGCGTTCAATCAGGAAGAAAAGAAGCGTGTATCGTCGACTGAATGGCGGTGAGTCGATTCAATTTTCGGCTTTGACGAGTGGGACCAATACCGTACTACGTTCATTCGAATGAAGAAAACCTCAGGAGAGCTCGTGGAACAACGGAACGCTATTCTGGCTGAAAGAAAGGGAACGTGAAGCGTTGGAAATCGTGGAAACGAACTGGTTCCAACGGTTTTTTTACTCTATTAAGCATACACAATCATCGAAGAAGTGAGAACTTTGTTTGTCGATAAAACATTTCTTTTTTTTAATAAAAAATATCACTTTGAGTACCAATTAGGTATCAATTTGATTTTTAATACACAATTTAATAAAATTCTTATTCTTAATGCACAATTTATTATTAATAACTCACTTTTGTTTAATAACAGATATTTTCAATAACATGAAAGTATTCGACCCGTTGGTTAATACTTTTACACTTTCCTGGAAGTCAACTCTTATTAAAGAACATATGATTTAATATGAATTATACAATTATAGTTTTATATCTTTTAAGTCGAGAACTGGTTCGAGTATCTTCAAGTAGAGTTGCTGCCAGATGATTAGGGTGTTCTGTTAACCTGTCCTTGTATCTGCTATAGTGCGTTTTTATTTCTTCTTTAACCGAGGGAATATTTAAGTCTTTCCTAATGATATCATTTGGAACAAACCAAGGTGCATTTACTAGGTTCCTCAGTGTCTTCGATTGGAATCTTTCAATTATTTCGATGTTAGAGGTTGATGCAGATCCCCAAAGTTCAATTGCTAATACACAATTTACTAAAATTTTTATATTTGATACACATTCTAGTAAAGTTTTCATTTTTAATAGAAAATTGAATAAAATGCTTCGATTTCATATGCTAAATTATACCTGGTGAATCACAAAAAACAGAACTCCTAAATATCTTCGTTAGCATTGGAGATAGGGGAAAATGTCAAAGGGAAAAGTTGTTTAACGCTCGATGTTCCTATCAAGGTCATTTAAAGGTCGCCGATGTTTCATGTATTTTAAACTTCGCAATGAACCAGCCGACGCCAAAAAGAAAGTTCAACGACATAGGTTACTATGACCTTGAAACTACCTTGCCCCAGAAATTCACGGTCAAGCAATGGCAACTTTGAAGTGTGCAATCATTTCGTCTGAATTAAATGAAATATTCAAAATGGTGACTTTTGAGCTGCAAGACTGAAACTTAAAAGCGTAATATTTAAAGATGGAAGATGTCACAATTATTTCTGACAATTTATGCATTAAAAATAAAATAATATGTCATATGAGGTCCTCGAACGACTTTAAATGGTAAATTTGAATATTTTATAATACAGCGAAATATCTTTTAAGGAAGTGATGTTAGGAAAAAAGTGTATTAACAAAAGTTGTTTAGTACGAGGAGGAAAATTATGTGGTGTAAATATTTTTTTTGTACTGGCTATAGTGGGGGAGATTTCAACGTCAGTTTAATTTTTTTAAACAGAATGCTATATTTTTTTATACATAATATGATAGTGTACGTTAAGACGAGTTCAAC